TCTTCTTGTTTAAAACGAATTAAAACATATCTACGAAATACAATAACAGAAGATCGACTTACCAATTTAGTAAAAATTCGAATTGAAAAGACACTCTTAAATTAACTTTTCGATCAGAGCCATTTTTTGATGATGTAATGGATCATTTTGTAAGTTTAAAGGATAGGATAATCGACCTTATGTACAAAAAATAAAAAATTTTTTTTTGTGTTTTATTTACAACGTGTCACCTACATTCAAACCTACGAGCCGCCACTGGCTATCATACACAATACACATATTCCTGTAGCTAACAGTAGAATGTTGCAAATGGCAATAATATACGAAATGGTCTTGTTTTCAGGGGAGGAAAGGCATCATTTACACCCGCTCAAAAATCTATCTTGAGTTCGGTTTTGAAAAAGCTTTAAAAAATCCACCTGGGGCATGTTTCATAATGAATTACAAGCTAATACTATTAGTATTGTAACTTGTATCTTGTATTTTTTTGTTGCATAATAAAAAAATACAAATGTACAAATTTCTAATTGTAAAATAATAAATACAAGTAAATATTACCAGGTTCTGTTTCATAATACGTGATAATAATATGAATTTTTGAAAAATATTAGTATTTAATGTAATACAAGTTACAAAAGATTATTTACTCATATTTTTCAAAGTACTAGTCAGGTTAATTGGTTTTTGACTTATTTTTGGTAAAAGAAATGTTATTCTAATATGAAAAATTTACTTTTTGACTCATCTAGTAATAAAGAAGAGCCCTTAGATGTTCAGCGACGCATAAAAATTTATAGGGTCTTCATAAATTTTAGTTTTGAATCAGCATATGAATATGTTGAACGATTTAGAATGTCATCCGATAAATTAGAGAATTTGTTGCAAGAAATAGGACCTTTATCCAGAAATCAGTCAAGAAAAGGTGGAGCACTTTCTCCTAAGCAACAGGTCTGCATAGATTTACATTGGTTTGGCAGTGATAGTCAGTATCACTCAACCGCAGATATGCATGGCGTTAGTAAATCAATCGTTCACTGTTGTGTGAAAGCTGTTATTGGAGCTGTCAATCAACGGTTATTTCAAGGTTATTTCACACAGTTGTTACAAGGCCACAAAACGTAGCAGCTGACGTTAATGGTTTTTTACAATTGCTAACTTTCCGCAAGTATGTGGAGTCATAGATGGTTCCCTTATTCCTATCGATGCTCCTTCTGAAAATGAACCCGCATTTGTAAATCGGCACGATAATCATTCAATTAATTGCATGTTTGTTTGTGGCCCTTCATTAAAGTTTTACTATGTGAGTGCAAGGTGGCCAGGAAGTGTTCACGTTGCTCGAGTTCTTAGAAACACTACACTTTCTCAAAGAATGGAAGAAGGTGATATATTTCCCCACACAGTACTACTTGGAGATTCTGAATATCCTCTAAAACAATGGCTTATGACACCACTTCATCATGATCCTAACAATGACGCTGAAAGAAGGTATAACCGTTGATTAAAGATAACAAGACAAACTATAGAATGTTCGTTGGGAATATTAAAAGAAAAATTTCCTTGTTTGCTTCATCTTCGTTTGGATCCGGCATGTGCTGAAGAAGTTGTAAAATGTTGCTCTACTCTCTGCAGTTTTGCAAGAAATGGCAAGGAAAATGATAAGTTATACCTGTAGATAAAGAAGAAGAAGTAGTGAACTTTCCTTTAGACAACATTGAAAATGGCTTAAAATTGTCTTGTCTATAGTGCAAATCTGTAACGAGCAACAAGAAGAGCAATATTCATATGAAGCGAGAATAAAAGTGTGAAAGCAAATAGTAGGTGTTTTCAATCAATTGACGACGTCCAATTTGTCCGCAAACTTCGAGAGGTGGATTTAAGGCGCGATCGCTTTTGACAAAGCTATCGCAGTTCCTCCTATTAATCGGCAGTACACCAGAATAATTTAAGCTGAAACTGTATTTATAACAGTTTCCGAAAACCCCATGTTATTTATTTTAAATACATACTAAAGCGTCTAAAGTGTAATGTTTTTAATGAGTAATGATTTTGCACATAATTGAATATACCTAACTAATTTAATAGTTTTTGAAGGTGTAGAAGTTTTAATGATATTTTAAACCCGTTTGGCTATCTAATATTTTTTATTATGATTTTAAATTTTCAAACTACCCAACTATCAAACTTACCGTAGTTAATTTTCGAACATTCGGCCACCAAACATCTCTTAAATAAGTCCAATCTTTGTTGGCAGGAATTACACCAATTGATTTAGCGTAAAGATTTAATTCTTGCCAAGCTACAATTTTATTATTTTTATTAAGTTTGTCACTCAAAGCACCAAACAATATATTTTTCTTCTCTTTCATTTTACTTAATACACAAAGTTTTAATTTTTGCTTATCAGCTCTTTTTCACATTGTAAATTATGATCTACTTTTAACAAAGAAGGTCGAAAAATAAGTTTATAACCTCACTTTTAGAATGTCAGATCACTTGTAGATTTGTAAAATTTTACTTGTAGAAACTTACTAATAATAATATTACTTAAGCCATTTGCATTATGAAACAGAAATTACTAGAGCTTGTAATTAATATCTTGTAATTTGTACTTTTTTACTAATAATATTAGTATCATTATGAAACAGGCCCCTGGAAACTTTAAATTGGAAAATAAACCTTTCCACGCACTGGTTTTCGTTCCTTTGACTCAATGGCTAATCGTAAAAATAGTATTTTTTTTACTGAATTGCAGACTTTGATGTTAAAGTATTTAAGAAATAACTTAATCCTGTCCCTACAGATACGCCCTTGTTGCTGATTATATATTTATGATGCAATTAGCAGCTGACTAAGCAGAAATATGATTAATAACCACAATTTGTCGGTGCCAAAACGGCGACCGGAAGGCGTTAAAGGCTAAATAGGGTGAACTTAGACTTAAAGGCGGAAATTTTATGAAAAAGTTGAATTATAGATTAGCTTCCTTCAACACAAAAAAATGTTGAAATGGAAATTGATGTGATAAAAATTTGTCGACTGACTTAATGAAAACTAAATGGAAAGTGTTATCTACTATCGAAATATAATTTGGACAATGACTTTGCTTGAGAGCTGGGATACAAAAAATGTACTTTTATTTTTTATTAACATTAATTTTGTTTCAGTGATATTTATTATATTGTTGTATTAAGTGCTTTTACGTATGATTTTTCTCTTCAGTGTTAATCTACGTCATGTCTTCTTTGAAACGTAATTTTTTTCATTTGAATCGGATTAATATTAACTAAGATAAAAGCTTAGGTCTCTTTGTTATTGCCACTGCTCATGATTTTTCTCTTTATTGTTAATCTACGTTACATTTTCTTTATAGCTCCGTTTGTTCCATTTAAATCGGACCAATAGCAATGAAGATAAAGATTTAGGTCCTTTTGGCTTTGTTACTGCGCATTATTGTTCTTTTCAGCGTTAATCTACGTCACGTCTTCTACACAACGTAGTTTATCCTATTTGATTTTATAATAAAAGCAGAAATATGGACTCTTTCACAACGCCGTATTTTCCATTTGAATCGGACCAACAATAACAGAGATATTCGTTAATGTCTTCACGTCAATGATGGCTACCATCTTGGATTCCTGACGTTATCTAATTGCGAGCTAACGTTATCATGGTTACTGATAATCCCGATTTCGAACCAGAATAGACCTTAGCGATTTCCCATTTTAATTTACATAAGAAACGACCCAGAACTTCTTGCAGTACATTTACTTTGGATACCAATTGGAACGACTTCCAATAATGATTTTGCAAATTCCATTGCAGCCTTGTTTTCATGGGTCAACAGGAACTTGTTCTTTGCAATAATTGTGCACATCTGATGATGAAATAACCACAACCACTTCTCATCCTGCTGGCGGATGGTGGAAACAGCTCATAATACTTACAAGGAGCTCCTTGGAGCCGACTACAGTAAGCTAAACAATGGCGAATACGAGTCCAGTCAGTGATGATTGAATTTTCTCTGGAGAATCATAGATTTTTGAGGGTATCCAGTAATATTTTAGATATTTTCTCTTCTCAACTTGCATAATAGTCGCTAAGCCAACAAATTTCCCAATATCGTCTGCATGACAAACCTTCTAGTTTTAATTTTAGTTTAATTATTTTCGGAATTGAAAGGTGGTTGGATACGCCTTTGCAACAAGACTCCTTAATTTTTTTTTATTTCCTTTTTCATATGGTTAAAGTATGTACCTACACTACGCAATGAATATAAATCTAACACGTGATTCTTATATTAACTTATTTACACTTCGTTTTTGAAAACAAATCTTTTCAATTGAAGCCACTTTATCGTTAACTTGAGTATCCTTTCATGTTATATGTATTTATCCACTGAAACCCAAAAGGACTTCTGGAGCATGTTTATACATTGTTTATGATCAACATTGGATGTTTTGGGTCTGGGGATTTATTTATTTCTCCGTCCGACGTAACAGCTATTTCGATTGTGAACTAAGGAGGAAATGTTTTTATATGGATGACTGGCTACAATTTATACTTTATACGTGAAACGAAAGGGTTCGTCGTATTTTTACCTGTTGTGGTATTGATCTGTTATTGTATTTTGATAATTTTAGAAATTGGTGATGAATAAATTTCTTATTTTAGCTTATGTTTGGTACGCAGTTATTTTGAAATGGAATTGTGTTACACTTAAACACTTTTAAATACTCTAAACGGTGATTATTTAGTTTTAGCTACGGGATCAGTGGTTAAAAATTATCCATCACACCTAGAGATTTAAAAATAAAGCATTACAATGCCTTGTCTATTATTAAAAAAATAAACAATTTTTGTTTATAAAGCCATTTTGATATTTAATCATTACAATCTATTTTGAGTCCTCTAAATTTTGTGCCAAATTGTAGCTAAACTAAATACTGTTGAAAGTTATCAGTTATCATATACGATATATTAATTTAATTCATTTCTTTCAGAACTTTTATGGACTGCACCAGAACTTTTACGTCATACTAGTTTACGAAAAAAAGGTACACAACCAGGTGATGTTTACTCATTTGGCATTATCTTGCAAGAAGTTGTTGTTAGAGGAGAACCTTTTTGCATGTTGGCGCTTACTCCAGAAGGTAAGATTTTTTTTTATTAAAAATATGTTTTTTTTTAAATAGAGAAGACAAAATAAACTCTCAATAAAATTATTGATACACTTTCTCTTTACCAAGATGAAACAGTTAAGTATTATTGTCATAAATTATTCATTAGACTATATCAATATAATATACAGCTTTGCTAAAATGACCATTAGATATTAATTTTAATAAACTACAATTTACATTAATGAACGCATAGATTCAAAAATAAATATGTATTTGCTTATTGATACATCAGTTCAGTCACTAAATTTGTGTTCATTATGGTAGAATAAATGGTTTTTATTACTAAAACTCAAAAATCAACATTTATCTAAAAAATTCTCGACAATGATAATAATTAAAATAATTGATTCATATTCTAGCATCTAAATAGTGAAAACGTGTAAAAATCTTCTTATTTATATTAAGGGCCATCTTCCACCAAAAACAGCGGTTAAGCTCGTGCGCAATTACAACTTTATTTTTGTGCAGGTGAAGAAAGAAAACGTATTTCTACATTTCTAGAGTTGTATAAGAATAAAATGATTAATTTTTTTTTTAAACATTGCTATTATTCAAGATAGAAAAAGGTGACAATATTACGTATTTTAAGGCGCTAATCATGTCGTTACTAGAAATAATTTAGAAAATCTAATGCTATATATCCCTGCTGCAAATCTTTAACTTTGTCCTAAAATGTTCTTCCTTCAAAAAAGTCAAAAAATAAGTAATTAATCGCGCACGGCCTGACCCTCCGCAAGTAACATTTTTCTAAAAATTGGCGGGCTAAGTAAAAAAAAAAATAACATTTTTTATTAATTTTAGAACAGTGCCTGGGCGTTATTTTTTGCCCTTAAGCCCAGGCAGGTACTGCACAAATTTCTTCTGCTAATTCTACCTAATTGATATCAACAGAATCACCGTGAGTTAAAATACTTTCTAGATCGCTGCAATGTTTTAAAAGATTTTCATTAGACATACCTTTTAAATCATATATATTAAATAAAAATTGAAAATAATTACTATGGTATGTTATGTTGAAAATGGGGTGTTAATACACTGCGACCTAAAAGATCTATTATGCCCCCTTCTATCGCCAATGCACTAAGAAAGTGTCTCAATACCTATAACGAACCTTCCAATTGTATTTCCTTAAGGAAGTGTCAAGTTAGGTAAATCTCCCTCTTCTATTTGGTATCCTCCTAGATATAGTGCCTTTGGATTCTGGAGTGCTACACATTCAGTTAGGATGTGAATGGAGGTTTCGTCCTCCTCCTCACAGAATCAGCACTCACTATCCTCTACTACTCTCAGTTTACTTAGGTGTCCTTTTAGTCGGCAATGCCCGGTAAGGATTCCTGTTACAATACGTAGCCTGTTCTTGCCGGCTTCCGATCTTTTCTGGTTATATTCACCCAGAAGTATCTTGGTAACTAAGTTGTTTAAATAATTTTATATTAATTAGGGCTACATTTTCTACCAGTCTTATCGTATGGAAATCTATATAATTGTACAATGGTTTAGGTGGACCTTGCCTTACCAAAAAGATTCTTTCTGCGTCTGGTACTATCATTGGCTAGATTGCTGGATCTGTACTTAAAGGTTGTTGAACGCTTTCTGTAGCTGCCACGTTGGTATGAATAGTGCTCTCATTTGGCGACGGAAAGCTGCCACGGTCTGTTGCAAATATTAGTTCATTTGTTGATCCTCATTTTTCTCAGGCGATTTTCTGTTGTCAGTGTCTTTTATTACTGTCTTTGATGTAGAACATTTTAAGTCGTCATTTGTTTTGGTACTGCCCAGTGTAAATAATTTAGTAAAGTGCCAGCTTGTCTTTGCCTTTACATTTCCTTTTCCACCCTTTGTTTTTTATATACGCAACCAGATAGTTTTCTGCATCCCTCGGACATTCTGGAAGATACACAAAATATCTGAAATAAAACAAAGCAAATTATAAGGAAATTGTCCTATAGCAGACTTGATTAAATTAGACAAGTACTGCACTTTTTTTATTCTTATTTAAGAACTAGGGGAGCGACGATTAAGCAGTTTTGTATGTTTTTTATATTTATAAATTATGATACCTTTCAAATTTGAAAATTCATAAGCTTTTGCATTTTACACAATTTTATTTCAAAATCTAAAATGGTATAAAATAGGGCAATTTTTCTTGACCAATTTAGTCAGATTATGCATAGATTTATTCTAGAGTGCTCAATGCGTAAATAATTATTTTAATTTTATAAAATAGCTAGCAAACTTTTCCTTTTTTAAAGAAAATTTTATTAATAAAACTAGGTAAAAATATTCGTATCTTTACTTTAAGGGAATCGCATCCACTAGTGATAAAAAAAAGGAATCAGGGTATATTGGTCAGTAAATAGCAGGAATTATTCAAAAAAAAATCAAGCTAGTGAGTTCTTCTAGGGTGTATGAGTAATCGTTGACCATAAGCTTGCTCCTCCTTAATATAACTATTTTTCCTTTAGCCCTAAGGTCTGTTTGATGCTCCAGCAGCTTGCTCTATTTTAGACAGCTTCTCGACTATAAAAGTTTTACTTTTCTTAGCACCTCTCTCTTTTGAACAGAGATACAAATTGGAATAAAATTGATCTTTTTCGATAAACTTAATATTATTTATCCCATATATATGTATTAATATTTACTTGAAGCAAAAGATTGATGGCGTTAATTGTTTCTTCAAAAAAGTTTTTAATCCCAAAAATTACAATATTGTTGCTTTTATTCTTTTTCTCAGGCAATACAACTTTCTTTTCAAGGTCTAAATTTTCTTCCTGTGATGTTTGTATTTTATAAGAATTTTGGTTTATAAGTAGACGATTTTAAATTGTTTATATCGGTTTTAGCAGACGATATATCAACCTTTAAATCTCTTCTAAAAATATTTGCCTCTCTTTGATAAATTCCTTGTTTGTCAGTCATATTAAACAAATTACGTTTAACGTGTATGGTCTGCTATAATCGGCGTATCAGTAGAACAGAAGTAAAAGTTGGAAATGCTTTTGCCAGTTCTCCCACTTTATACACATAAATTGACAGGTTGGCACCGGACCTCACCGAAGTGGACGCGATACATTGGCGTACAAAATTATTTTATAGATGTTAATAACAATTTCGAGTAAATAGTTTAATAAATTGTGAATAGCTGCTGAAATTTTGTAAAATTATAATTTGAATATTATAATACATGTTTAATAATTATTTATAATCCATAAATACATGCGATTGTCCGGTTCCGCCGATAACAATTTAAAATTACTTATTTTATGAAACGACACTGGCAGGTAAACATTACTGTGAAATTCTCGGAGCCGCCCGACGTTGTTTGACGTTTACCCCCTCTCTACCTACCAAAAGACTTTTCAACTTTTACTTTCTCTATATAAAATTTTATTGTGCCAAAAAAGTTGTTAGAATATTTGGAAATAACGATCGGTCGATCAAGTTATTGGCATTTAAAGTTCAAAATATACTTTTTTTAATGTCATATTATTGTGCACAGATATATGCGTTTATGTTATAAAATAAGACGGTTCTATCACCTTAATTTTTTTTAGTTCAAACACTGTTATTCTCGCAATAATTTAAGCAACGAAATCACAAACGAACACTGTACTAAAGCGACCATAGACTATATTAGATTATTATTTAAAAATACACTAAATTAAAACAAAAAATTGAATTGTTACGAGATATTTTAAGAATATTGTTTATTTAGCTGATAATGAATGTATGCTTTACCTCATAGACGTCCTGTATAAGTGAAAAAATAAAAATTGGTAGGTATATTATTTTAGATTCAATTTCTTTGAACCGGTAAATCCATTGAATAAATATGTCCAAGTTGTTCACAACCGAGTAAAAACTTGATATTCTGTCCCCGACAGGAGCAATATTTTCTTTTCTATCTGGAATTGATGTCTGTGAAATGTATATTGGGTTAGGATATGTCAGCGAATTTTTATATAGGAAAGAATAGAATTTTGAGGTATAGAGATTGAAATATTGCGGCGCAGTTTTCGGGATAAAAATAGTCCTAACTCAACGAAAAAGTTGGGATTTACTACTTTTGTTGAGGCCATTTCTGAAATAAATTGTTATGCTGAAGGTCAAATGATAATATTTGGATCAAGAAAGAAACCGTAATTCAGCCCAGACTACTTCGTTTTTGAAATGGAACTATTTAAATAAGTATAAATTATATAGGAATTTTTCTGAAACCTAATATATTGTACTTAGATTAAAACACCCAACTGCTTTTCATATTTTCATATATTTTCACGAGAATAGGTAAAGAACTTAGATAAAAGAGACCAGAGATATAACATACACCGGTTTTAAACCTGCGCAAATGTTGCCAATTTCTAAAGAAGGGTTAACGGAGTGGGGGAACTGGGCGGCGACACGCGGCGACCCGAACTCTGTGACAGGGACCGGACTTTGTTTATTAGCATCTTAATGAACTATTAGGTTTATTTAAAAGGTGTTTAATCGAATTTTGTATTATGAAATAAAATTAACGTGATTTTTTAATATCAAACAGATGCCACGACATTTTATGTAAAGAGAAGACCTTTTATAGAATATTTCGTTAGCGTTTATTTACTACGGACTTTTCTGCAAGAGATTACAGTATAATGTTGAAATAGAATATATTGTTAATAGAGCAAAAAATGTTACTCATTGTCTACGAGTATTATAAAAATAGCATGTGCGCAGGCTAATACTGCAAATCTACCCTTATGAGTTGAACATTATATTTTTTCTACGGCTATTACATATTATTAAAAATTAGTCAAAATGAGAAAATGCTGTTTTGTATTGTAACCTCAGAAAAAAGTATATTAAGGCTTCTTTCTTTAAGAATATTAATTATTATAAAGGATGAGTCACATAAAACTCTAGAAATGCATATGTCTGAAACCAGATAACATTTTAAAATTTAAATCTATTAAAAGTCATTTAGTCGCTAGGGAGTGATTATCGAAATAAATTATCGATAATTGAAAATAATCGATTATTTTCGATCAATAGATTATTTTCAAACAATATATTTTTTGTCATTTCCTTTAAAATCGACTACTTGATTATCTTTGAAAAATCAAAAATAATCGATTAATTAAAAAGCCAATTAACCGATAAATCAGTGTTTACAAAATATAATATAAATAGAATTATCGTTTATTTTAAATAATCGATTATTTTCAAATAAACCATTTTTTTTCGTCCATGGAAACAGATTATTCGATAATCTTTGAAAAATCGAAAATAATCGATTAATCAAAAATAATCGATTAATTAAAAAGTCGATTAAATGATAAATCGATTTAAAAAAAAAACAGAATGATCGATTATTTTAAATAATTGATTATTTTCGATCAATCGATTATTATCAATAATCTATTTTTATTGTATTTCCTTTAAAATCGTTAATTCGATTATCTTTGAAATGCCGCAAATAATCGATAATTCCAAAATAATCGCCTAATCGAAAATAATCAATTAATTAAGAAGCCGATTCTATGATAAATCGATTATTACCAATAATCTATTTTATTGTATTTCAAAAATAATCGATTAATTAAAAAGTCGATTAACTGACAAACCGATTTTCAAAAAAAAAACAGAATGATCGATTGTTTTTAATAATCGATAATTTTCGATCAATCGATTATTATCAATAATCTATTTTTATTGTATTTCCTTTAAAATCGATAATTCGATTATCTTTGAAATACCAAAAATAATCAATAATTCCAAAATAATCGCCTAATCGAAAATAACTAATTAATTAAGAAGCCGATTCTATGATAAATCGATTTTCCAAAAAATAAAACGAATTATCTATTATTTTCTAATAATCCTTTTTTCATATTTCCTTTTATTTGAAATTGATTATTCGATTATCGAAAATAATTGATTATTAAAAAGCTGATTATCCAATAAATCGATAATTTAAAAAAAATAACCAAAATATCGATTATGTAAAATAACTGATTATATCCAATCGATTATTTTCATATAATATCTTTGAAAAATCGAAAATAATCAAATAATTAAAAAACCGATTAAACGATAAATCGATTATTTTGAATAATTTCTTTTTTGTATTTCCTTTAAAATCGATTAATACATTATCTTAAAAAAAACGAAAATAATTTATTAAAAACAGCGGATAAATCGATTTTCATTAAAAAATATCAGAATTATCGATAAATCGATTATTTTTGTAACCCCTATCGGTCGCTTGCTTTTATCTGAGCATTTAGCTCCAAAATTTAGAGATTCAGATTTTTTGATCCAGTTATCTTTGAAATCGCATTCGATTGTATAATAAATAAATATTGCTAAATTTTGGATTTTTTTTAGTAAACGAAAATTATGTTCGAGTTGTTTAGGGGTTTGTAATGTAACATTTTATTAACGTGACTAAGGGTCGATTCCACCGTTGTGTTAAACGAAGTTTAAAATGACATTTTTACATTAACACTGTCATTTTAATATCCGTTTAACACAACGGTGGAATCGGACCTAACTTCTGTAACTTTAGTATTTTTTTTTTGCTTATACTAGATTACTTTGTTTCAAGACTTAAAATTCAATGTCACTTTGAATTTGACCGCAAATAAGATGAACCTTGAAATTTTAAGTAGGTCATCCTGTATTTCATCTAATATTCTTATAAAAATACCTTATAAAAATACCTTATAAAAATAAAATTTAGCTAGCAACTATGATTCTTTACCTCTTATTTATCTACCAAAAGGGCTAAAAACTACCTTTAGAAAACATTCTTATAAAACTACTTTTTAAATACAAAATTTCGTTAGCAATAATGCCTATTTACTATTTATTTAAATTAAATGTTCAAAATTTTACCCTTTTGTAAATTTATGTAAGTAATATGAAATCTGACTTTGTGATGCTTAATATTTATTGAAACCCCTTAATGCGGATCTGAAGTATTCAGCCCAGAGAATCATGGCGCTTTATGTCAAAACGTTAATAAATATTTACCGCTGAAAACGAATATATTCATAACAGTAGTACTTGTATTATAAGTACATACAATTTTTCAAGATATATCGTGACATTTTGAACTTGAAATTGAATAACTAGAATACTTTAAATTGCTAAAATACCAACAAATAAATCAAAAAACAGCTGTCAATGGTGATTAAACTCAGGTGGAGGTGATCGCTGAATGGAAATCGGAGCAATTCGGGTGGCGTCGTGCAACAATGATTTTCAATTGGTGGGTTACTTTGGCTTAAAATAGACAACATGCGCAGTGTGCAATGTTACATCTTCGGTCTCTTTAATCTAAGGTAAAGAAAAATCCATAACCGTACAAAATGCGTTCGCAGAGCATAAAAGTGACAATAAATCCCAAACCATAGGAAATCGCGCATGCGTCTCATAAAAAAATCACCAACCGTTGGAAACTGTCTCTACGAACAAACCTAATGGTACTGTTCCAAACCATATTAATATTTACTTTGTCTACTTGTTTTTCTTAGTACCTATACCTACTAATAAATATTGTAATGGTGCTCTAACTACTGCAAGTTCTTAAAATATTTTTTTAATTTCAGAAATAATAGAAAAAGTAAAAAGGCCACCACCGCTCATTCGTCCATCTGTCAGTAAAGGGGCTGCTCCTCCGGAAGCCATCAACATCATGCGTCAGTGCTGGGCCGAACAAGCGGAAATGCGTCCGGATTTTAACACCGTTCACGATCAGTTTAAGAAATTAAACCACGGAAGAAAAGTTAATATCGTCGATACGATGTTTCAAATGTTGGAAAAATATTCCAACAATTTGGAGGAGCTCATAAGAGAAAGGACGGAACAATTGGATATTGAGAAGAAGAAAACTGAACAACTTCTAAATAGGATGTTACCAAGGTAAGTTTACATTGTTATTAACATTAAAAATTATCTGGGTTAGTATTAATCAGTTTAACTGTATTATTTAATTATTTTTTTGGTATTCACAAAATATAGGTCTTACCAACAAGGTATAACAATCAATATAAACTACGCCGCAGATGAAGTAGGACAGCCAAAAAATTGCCTAATTTTGACTAGCTGTAACTTCGACATTTCTTTGCCGATGTTAGATTTTCAGCCAGAGGTGGAAAGCGCGATCCTTGCTGTTTACGTCAGTGGCATTGAATATATTTTTTTTAATAGCTTCTTGTTGTACAGGGTGTGAATGTAAGGCAGCGAAAAATGTCCGTTTTTTGGCAAAGAATTTGGAAAATGTGGGGGGCCAAATCAAGTTCTTTCTGATGTTGAGTGGATTACTAGGTCGACACCTCGGCATGTCTTTGCCATTTTTTTGATACTTTGCGTTGCTATGGAAATATCGCCATTTTATGAAATTCCATATTTCTTTTAGAATTAGCCTTTTTTTAATTAAAGAATAACAGATACCGACTAAACTGCATCAAGGAATAACCTGTAAAGAAAATGGCCAACACCAGGGCGTGCAAAAAGGGGTTTATGAAATTTAAAAAACGAAAACTTGATTTTATTTGAAATTTTTAACACTTTTGGTAAGCGTTACAGTTTAAAAGGTGCCATAACTGTAATGAGTTTGATTTTGACTAATTCAGAGGAATACAAAAGTAAAGCTACTCACCCTGTAAGCGCTTACTGATAGTGTCAGTAAGCAATAATAGGTACTTACCATTTTTGCATTGCAAGTCGGGACATTTGCTTTGACGAAACTTTATTTCTGCAATTTAATCAAGAAGGCGACAAAAATATTACCATAGAGATAAGATTTTGACGTTAGATTGCATAAGTCAAAACAAAAATAAATTGCTATTGTCCAAATGGCGCGACTTAAGAGAGATTTCTGATTTTCTTAATGTCAAGAAATCATCCGTTGGAAGATCGTTGCAGAGAGAAGGTAACAATGGTACTGCTGCTTACCGACACGGGGGAGGATCTCGAAAAAGAACTAATCCTCGTCAGGATCGAGCAGTAGTACGGACTGCAATCAGAAACAGAGTTTGGACTGCCAAGAGAATCCGAGCGCAACTGCAGTTAAACGTTTCAGCAGACACTATTAGAGGACGCCTACATGATCAGGGATTAAATTCTCGCCGTCGGCCAAAATGCCCACTTTTAACTGACATTCACCGGGCCAACAGGAGAAGATGGGCCCAAGAACATATAAATTGGGATCGTAGGTGGAGAGACTGTCTTCGTTGATGAAAGCCGTTTCAACCTCTACAATTCCGACGGCCGATTGCTATCTTGGCGGAGACGGGGAAAACGTTATTTAGCAGAAAATATGCGTCCCCAAGTTGCATTTGGTGGTGGTGGATTGACGGTTTGGGGCGGTATTCAACACAACGGAAGGACAGAACTCGTGGTATTTCGGGGTAATGTAAACGGCCAGGTTTACCTGAATGAATGTCTGATTCCGCTAGTTCTCCCGCATGCTCGAAATTATGGTGAGGATTTTGTTCTTGTGGACGATAATGCTCGTCCTCATCGAGCATTATTAGTAAACAGATATATACAAGAGCAAAACCTTAATCGTACTGAATTGCCTCCTAGATCTCCAGACTTGAATCCTATTGAGCACGTCTGGAGCTGGATGAAGTTGGAGTTTTCCCGAAGGGAACGTCAGCCAGAAACTCTAGACGATCTCGAGGAGATGATTTTAGAGCTCTGGGAGGCAGTTCCTATGGAGCTAACTAATAACTTAATTTCGAGCATGCCAAGGTGGTGTCAGGCAGTTATTCAGGTTAGAGGAGGTCCAACGCCTTACTAATTAATAATTAACAAATATTTATTAAGGTTAGGTTAGGTTTATTTTAATATTCTAATGAATTCCATGTACACACTTTATAAAATAAAAACCAATAATTACTGAACCCTTTTTGTACGCCTCTGAATTAGTCAAAATCAAACTCATTACAGTTATGACACCTTTTAAACTGTAACGCTTACCAAAAGTGTTAAAAATTTCAAATAAAATCAAGTTTTCGTTTTTTAAATTTCATAAACCCCTTTTTGCACGCCGCTGGTGTTGACCATTTTCTTTACACGTTATTCCTTGATGCAGTTTAGTCGGTATCTGTTATTCTTTAATTAAAAAAAGGCTAATTCTAAAAGAAATATGGAATTTCATAAAATGGCGATATTTCCATAGCAACGCAAAGTATAAAAAAAAAATGGCAAAGACATCCCGAGGTGTCGACCTAGTGATCCACTCAACATCAGAAAGAACTTGATTTGGCCCCCCACATTTTCCAAATTCTTTGCCAAAAAACGGACATTTTTCGATGCCATACATTCACACCCTGTACAACAAGAAGCTATTAAAAAAAATATATTCAATGCCACTGACGCAGCAAGGATGGCGCTTTCCACCTCTGGCTGAAAATCTAACATCGGCAAAGAAATGTCGAAGTTTCAATTAGTCAAAATTAGGCAATTTTTTGGCTGTCCCACTTCATCTGCGGCGTAGTTTATTAGAGTACACGTCCTAATCTCAACATTCTATAGTATCCACAAAAGAGACCATAAACAGATTTTTTTTTAATGTTTCTTAGATTTGTTGACCCAAATGCTTTGCTAGCAAAGTATATTTTGTCACATTTTTAGTTCGTATACAATACTTATTTTAAAATTATTATCAACTAATTACAAATGTTGTATTACACATTCAAAAAGCTCCACATATGCTGTGAAAATGATTAGTCTCAATATTTCTAACGAATACAACAATTTGGAATCATAATGTCAATGCTGAGTTATCACTATAAGAATGAATATCTTGGTCAACATTTACTTGGCTTACTAATTCTATGGATACAGATATTTCTGTGGATGCAGGGTAAAATTTCTTGATCTTTTTCTTAAGATAACAGAGCAGTTTTTCCCTTATCCATAGAAACTATTAGTTCTTTAAAGTCTGGTAATTATATTAAATTATGTTAAATAGTACACGATTAGATATACCACATTTAAAAGTACCCTCGTAGACAATTGGCAATAAATTCTTGTAAATTATGGAAAAGTTAGGCTAATTGCTTTGTTGCTGCTGTTTTTAAGGCATAAATGTTTTATAAATGCCTTTTGTACAACTAAAACCTCCACCATATCTTGGTCAAAATTTACTTGGCTTACTAATTCTATAGATACAGACATTTCTGTTGATGCAGGGTAAGACCTCTTGATCTTTTATTTTTAAGATAAGAAAAGTTTTCTAGCAGTTTTTCCCGATTATCCATAAGCGAAATTTCACAAAATAAGTTATATTTTATATATTTCAACTGTATTTTTCTTTAAGGAGAAGAAAACTTTCAATTCAACCTGTAAAACAAGTTAATTAGTGAAATGATCACTAGCTCTTATACTATAAATCTCTAATACAAAAGATTACGCGAAGTGGATTTAACGTATTGGGATTATGCGATTACACCTACATTTATACTCCCAACATTCCTCGCCTTTGTATATCCCGTAACCCGAAAAAATATCGAATTGAAAAGTTAAAGAGGAAAAGTTCCGTTGTTAGAGGTGGAGTTTCTGCAAAATCTAATATAAAAGTTTTTGTTGTGAGCATAAACTCGAGAAGATATAATATGAAAGATATTGGGATTATATTCAATATTGATGTTCGTGTTAGAAATACGTAAAAGTTAACCAAGTCATTAAGACCTTCAAAATAGACTTTGAAAATATTGCTTTAGAGTCTGCATAAAGTTAATTCTGTTAATTCTTTTCTGATTGCGTGAAGGTATATCATTGGATACAGTCGTGACCACTCTGGGCTTGAGTGATAAAATAATTTGTTCCCTCGTTCTGTCTAAGAAACTATTTATTTACATCCGTAATCAATCAAAGGGTCCATCTGCCATATTGCCTGTTCAACTAGCTTTCTTACCATCCTTGATGTACTTTTGTTTGTATTCGGTCATCTGGTTTCGATTTTTTCTTTCTTTTCCCATAAGGCCCATCAGAATAATATCTGCTATTACCTGAGCCGCTTCTGTTGATTTGCGCAATATGATTTGCACACACGAAGAGCGATCTTCTCTATTTCCTCTCTAGCCTACGGTGGTAACACTTCTTCACACAACTTGATAGAGCCTAAGATTCTTATTTTGCTGACCAGAGGTCTTCCAGTGTTTGGCATAGGTTTTGTTAAGGCTGCAGTGTAGCTTTGTTGTTCTTTCTGCTAATATCTTTTAGTGTTCTCAGGTTAATTCGTCAGCCTTCTCATTGCTCTGATATCCTTCGTGGCCTGACACCCAGGTTAAGGTCACTTTTTTTGACTGCTTAGTTTTGTCAGGTCTTCTAGACAGTCTATAACCAGTCGTAGCGATAGAATTGCTTTTAAAGCGCTTGGAAATAGTTTTGGCTAATACTTGATTTAACTTGCATATTTTGGCCTGGAACAGTGTTGCATATTTTCCTAGACTTAACCTTTATCGGTTTTTGAACCATCTATATACCAGACCTGTATTGGATGTCCCTCTGTTGCCAGGATTCTTTGACTGATATTTGGATTTGAAAATTTATTATAAAGTTGTTTATAGTTATGTCTATATCAGTAGAATTCCTAGCATTTTATCTTTTTTTACTTGCTGGTCTAGCCTCGTATGTAGTTGGCTTATTGGGTTCTGTCCCTGTATTATTCTGTAAATAACAGACCTGGTTTCTTCTTGTATGAAGATGTGCAGTTTAATAATTACTTTTACATATATTTTTATTATTACTGGTTTTATCTCCATTTATTCTAGCTTGTAGTTCTGGATCTGCTAGGTTATTTCTTTCGATACATATATGTAGTACAATATGACTTTTTAGTGTGACCTGCCTTTGCTGGGTTATAATATAACAAACATCTAAAACGTATTTTCATTGTAACGTTCAAA